GAACCCCGAGTCCTTTAAACCCTCGAAGTGGTGCGGGAAGTCCTGGAGGCGGTGGAGGAAGACCTTGGCCAAAACCTCGGGGGAGCCATAGAGATGGATTTGTTCTTCCACCCATGGCCCAAACATTTCATGTTTGGCACATAGGCCAAGGAGCCCCTTGGTTGCCGCCTTTCCAGGCCAGTGCTTGTGCTGCGCTTCTCTCCAGCGGCCCCCGTCGTACAAACAAACCTGCACGTAGTCGGCCGAGCGCAGCTTTGCACTTTGGAGCGCCATGTTCTCGGCGCGTGTGCGCGCCAAGGTCGGGAGGGCCCAACCTACGTTGTGCTCCCCAAGATCCGACAAGCGGATATGGCAGGCACACAAAAACGCGACCACACTTAACAAGGCCAGGAGGTCCGGGACATCAAGTGTCCTAAGCCTTCCCTGCGGAGAAGCCACAGGGATGACCCGCCTGTAGAAAACCGCGCGGGCACGAAGGGAAAAACCCCGGCCATGGCCATTCTCTGACAAGGTGAGCAGAACTTCACCAGAGGACCCCGGTCGAGGAATAAAGGTGAAATCTCTGGATAATCCCTCCAGAAAAATCTGCTCCTGGTCCATGGCCTCGGCGAGCCCCAGCTTGAGGACCTGAACTTCGGCTCCAAGTCCCCATTGAGCCGGGGGCTCCAAGGTGACACGACTGCCACCTACCCCCAATACGGCCCATACCCCTCCAAGCTCGTCCTCCAGCTCCGCCGGAGTGTAAGTAGTCCAAGGCGTGCCAGACGTGCCTTTTTTGTTTAGGGACACGCCTCGGAGGGATCTCGGGATCTTCAGGGGCTGCTTGAAAAGAAGCTCCAAGGGAACCTCCGGATCTGGTTCCCCTCTGATGTCCTCGCCCTTGATTCCCGGATCTGGGCCTGAATGGGACTGCGCTGGGGATGGAGCTTCGGTGGTGGCCGGTGAGTTTGCCTCAACCTGGGCACTGGGGACAGGATCTGGGTGAGGTGAGGGTTCCTCAACCTGCTCAGGCACCAAAGAAGAGGCTGGCTCAGGTGAGATCTTCTCAACCTGTGTTTTGGAAGCCGGGCATTTAACCTCAACCTGGGAGCTTTGGGCAGGCTCCTGCTTAGGAGAGGTCAATACCTCTTCCTGCTCAGGCTCCAAGGGAGAGGCCGGTTCAGGCGAGACCTTCTCAACCTGGGTTGTGGCGGCCGGGCCTGGATCACCAGCATCTGTATCCGGCTTGGTTGCCGGTGAAGGAACCTCAATCTGAGAACTCTGGGCAGGTTCCTGCTTAGGAGAGGTCAGCACCTCATCCTGCTCAGGCCCCAAAGGAGAGGTTGGTGCAGGCGAGACCTGCTCAAACTGGGTTGTGGAGGCTAGGCTTGGTTCATCAGCATTGGAAGGCGAGGGCACCTCAGCCTGCAGATTGGAACCGGAGGCTCTTGGCGAGGCCTCCTCAGCCTGGGCCTCTGTGCGTTGCCGCTTTGGCGGTGGTGGTGGTGGGGTTCGGGCTACCCCCGTCTTGGGTGCGGCTTTTGGCCTCGTGATAGGGGCCTCCACCGACCTTGACAAGTTGGGACCAGAAGCCGGAGGTTCCCGGTCGGTACCTGAATGCTGGCTTTGCCTGGAGTACCTTGATCTCGAAATAGCAGGTTTGCCCTCACTAAAACGATGCTGCAAGAGGGCCTGGTACCGCTGTTCCGTTACCGGGTCCTCGAAAGGGGCATTCTGCCCCTTCCCTGGCTTGTTCTTCCCTTTTCCTTTACCCATCTTGGAGCCAAAAGCTGCGAGAAGGCTCAGACATGGAGGGTTAGCAAAACCAGGTACGAGTAGCACTTAGACCAGGCTACATCTGCAGGCTTGGCGCAAACAGCACCTACCCCATCATCATGCAGTAATAAGCTTGGAGGGGAGAAGTAATGTACGATAATGTCCAGAGGTCGGGGAGTTGCCAAAATGCGAGACCACGGCCTTGGGGTAGTAACGAAGAAGTTCCCCATCCAATCCCTCAAGCACACAAGGATCCTCAAAACCAACTGGGTTCTCGAGCCTCCGAAAACCCCCCCCGTCCCCAACAAACCTCAAAAGCTGCAATGCAATCAAAGGCGGGTGAGTGAGGATTTTCACTTCTCCACCTTGTTGCCAACTTGCCAGGAGTTCCCTCATAGAGACTTCGTGCTCCGGGAGGTGAAGAGGAAGTGGGAAAAAGTTACCCTCGTGGTGAGGTGCATTGGGAGCACGAGCTCTCCATGAAACGCAAGAGAGGTCCCGGGGAAACCCCGAAGAAAGGTGCATGAGAAGTTGACAAACATCATGCTGGCTGTTTGGGGATTCCCATCGACCCTGGCCTGCAACTAATCTCTTCCAAACCAGGGACTGCCACAGCTCGACTTTGCGTTGATCTTTCAACCATCGCAGAATGCCCTGGATGGGGGATCCAGCAAAGGGGCTGGAGGCATAAAGGAGCAGATCAATCCAAAAGAAACCAACCACCAAAGAATTGGTATAACAATGATTGGATGGATTTTGGAACTTCACCTTGCGAACAATGGAGCCAGCAGCCCTTAAGTCTCCAAGCTCCGGGCTACAAGAATCCCGGTGATCGCGGACAGCAGGAGAGGGAGGCTCAATCCTGACCATGTTCTGCAAGGGAGGGTCGTCGGAAGTGAGGGTTTGCAGGGGAGTGGCCTCAACCCTGTTAAGTGGTGTTGCAAAGAAGTTGCTAAGGTTTCGGGCTTTTGGGAGGGTCTCCTTAGAAAGCTTGCTAGCCTTCTTGGAGGCAGGTAGTGACTCCGGAACCCCTACACCACTTAACAGACTCTTGGTGAACTTAGTCAGTTTGTTAGTGTGTTTACGGGTCACACACAGGGACTGGAGGAGCCCCGGGACTTTCTTTGCCCGCGCTGGCAAAATGCCTTCACACACTTTACACTGCCAAGCTTTGCCAATGGAAACAAGCTGATGGGAGGAGTGACAGGCCAGGTGCTCCGGGGGACGACCTTCCCCTCCTAGGCACGGCTGTGCAAGGACCTGCTGGAACAGTGACGGAGGGTCCACTTGCTGCAGGTAAAGGCCACATTTCCCACACATAGCTGTGAGGTTCGTCGGGTGCTGACTCCGAATTTCCCACTGGTGTCCCTGCGGAGATACGGTTTGGCTGACGAGTTGCTCAATCTGCTGCCTTTTGTTAAGGGTTGGAGGTTTTGGCTGGCGCTTGCAGCAAATAGTCTTCTTATCCTGCGTAGTAATCAAAATCTCCGCCCTCTGACTAAGTAGCTGGGAAAGGGTGGAAACCAGCGTGTCAACTTGCCGGACTTGCTTTCTGGCATCAGGGTGCAAAGCTTGGTCAGCCTGGACCCGGCAAGCTGGTCAGCTTCCTGATTCAAATGCCAACGCCAAACCTCATCTTTTCCAAACTTTTCAGCAAATTTTCCTACATCCAAGTGGGCCTTGACCCAATGAAGGTGTTGTGGGGAGATGCTCTGCCATTGGGGTTTCCAAAACATGGAATGCTTGGATGTAACCGCCTTAGCTGCGGCCTGCTTGCAAGCTACCCGAGAATCTGTAGTAAGATCCATCAGGCCCGGGCAAAGCTCATGGGCCTTGACAATGGCATGGACCTCCCCATCTAGAACCGTGGCCGGTCGAGGCAAAACCCCGCTCGCAGTTGCGATGACTGTGATGCTTTGGCCCGTTTTACGTGCTAGAATCACAGCCCATCCAATGGTCCTCAATCTGGGATCGGAAGAGAATTTACCACCACTGGCATCGGTGCCAATGACAAAATCCGAGTCCCAGGTCTGTGACGGCCAGGTGCCCTCATACCTATCCTCAGCGTTCTGAAGTGGCGAGGAGACGTAGGCAAGAGGGGGAAGGGCTCGCAACCAAAGGCAGGGCGCAGGATGGGACTGACGCATTTGTTCAAGATGCCGGGGAAGCTTTGGCTGTCTAGCCCATCTAGGGCAGTCCCACAGCACACGTTGTAGTGTGTTGTCTGACTCAATGCCCCGATCCTTGCAGTAAGGGCACTTGGGGTGGCCACCACTTCCCGCATGCACAACTGCTCCTTGCCAGATTGACCGGTAGAAGGTCAGACGTTTGGTCTTCTTTAAAGCAATGCGGCGATGAATTGTAAAATCTACACCATCCTGAGCTCCTTGACCGCCATGTTGGCAAGAGATGGCTCGCAATCTTTCGCCCCTGATGGTAGACCGAATCTTGCGCCGCAGCTCCTGAAAAAGAAAGGGGCTGAAGTCAACGGGCCAGGGGTGGCCATCAATATGCCAGACTTCCGGGGACTGGACATCCCATCCAATGTCCCTGGCATACTGAATCATGGCCGAAATGGGTCCGGCAACGATTTTCCAAGGGTGAGGCGAAGCCTCCAACCTGGATTTGACCAAGGGCCAGGACCTTTGAACTTCCGCCCAAATGGAAGGAGAACGGCCCAGAATACGAAGGAAGACTTGCAAATGCTCACAAATGATCTGCTCTCGGGGATCCGGAAATCTGTGGGAGAACATCTCCAAGACGGTCAGGGTTCCTCCAAGATGTTGGTGTCCTAAGCTACCAGCCAGCACAGCGCGGTGCCATTTCAACCGTTTGGGGCTAACACCCTGTGCCTGATGGCCATAGGTGGCACATGTCATGATGGATCCGCGCACAACCCTAGTGCGTGAATGATGCGAATCAACACCTAAAGCACGAAGGCGCTTGTGGCGGCCTTGCGCCTTCTTGTGCCTGCCAAGAGAGGTGGCAAGCCTGCGGCGTCTGCCAGCATTGCTGTCAACCCCTAAGTCTTTGGCTAACAGGGTAATGCCAGGATCTTGGTCCGAACGCAGACGCTCAAGAACTTGAGAGGTGGCAGAATCTGAGCAAAGAAACTTGGTTTTCTCCAAGGAAACCTGAAGATTTCGTTCCGCAAGAGAATCTCGCAGTATACGAAATGTCTTGAGGGCTTTGTGAGCCGTGTTAGAAGCAGTGGAACCTACCACGTCAGCCGAAATGTCATCCAGTCACTGGTCTATGTTGTGAGTGAGGCCAGTAGCCTGAAGGTCCCTGATTGGGACAAACAAAGCCAGTTTCGAAACCACCGGCGCAACAGGGCAACCCTGAAGCAACCCAACTGTGGGAACTATTCCCGGCGAAACTGAATTTTCGGCTGAGACAAATCGTGTCCCACCATAAATTTGAAGGGAAAGCTCCAAAAGCAAAGGTGGGAACTGCAGCAGGAGTCCGGTGTCGACTACCGAGGCCCAAACAACACAATCATAGAAGCCTTTGATATCAAGAAAGAGTCCTACAAAGTGTTTGGACTGAGTGCGGGAGGCTTCGGCCCACAGCAAACGGCGGATGCCGATGTCTAGTGATGTTCGTCCTGGCACTGCGGCATCCCAAGGAGCCAGGGCCTGGTAGGAGACCGTCCACTCTTGGATCAGGGACCACCTGGCTCTGCAGTAGTCCCTCCACAAAACGTGAGTTAAAGAGATAGGTCTCTCAGCAGTAGCCGATTTGGGCAGCATACAAACTTGTGTCAGGAGAAACTGCTGCGGGACTCGGAGGCCTCTTTCGAGCTCCTGATAAAATTCAGCGATGTCCTTAAGCATTGGCCAAGTCAATTTCTTGAGAAGGGACTTGCTCCAGCCGTCCGGTCCTGGGGCAGTGACCCTGCCTTTGGAAAACCTTTGTTGCAGCTGTTCCGGGGAAATGGGGCTCAGGGTAGCGACCTGCTGAGCAGCCAGTTCCCGTAGCTTTCCGCTAGCCTGTTGCTCTGCGTGTGGAAGAGGAGGAAGGTCCTCAACTCTAAGTACGCCTTTCCAAGTGCGGAGCCATAGTTTGGTTCTAGCCAGGGCGCGGACCTCTGCGGACAGATCCCGAAAGGGACGTGCAGTGGTGATTTCACCTTTTTTTATCGTCTTGAAAAGGGGAGCCATCCCTTTTTCTTGGGCTCCCTGCAACCACGACCTGTACGACTTGGTCTGGGCATCCTGGTGAACTTTAGAGGCCAGCAGAAATTGCTCCTGCATTAATTGCTGGACGCGCTCGGGAACAGCAGCCTGCTCCGAGAGACAGGCCTGGAGCGTAGAAAGAAAAGAAACAGCCTCCTCCGAGTTGCCCTGCCAGTGGTCCAGGATCGGCGGCAAATACTCCTGGCATTGCTCTCGACGTTTGGGGTGGTCTCCCTGGCACAGAAATTGTACCCGGTGCCAAAAAGCCTGGCAAGAGCCTTCCCATGCGAACTGGGACATGCGAGGAACAGCTGGGAGGAATTCAACTTGGAGTTGGCGACCAATACCCTGGGACGTTTGCAAAAGACTGTGCTCCACCGAGCTGGAAATGGAAGCCAGTCGATTGCTCAGGGGGTCAGCCGACAAGGTGGTATCGGGCAAAGAGGCGAGGGTCTCCTCAACCTGCATGTAATCAAGCGGTTCTTCCCTGAAGGAAAGCACAAAGGAGGGAAGCTGTGGAGTGGTGAGCTGGAAAGCGCCCACATTAAGGGCAACTTGGATTGCTGCATGTGGCTTGAAAGGAACATCCCAGGAGGCATCAACCCGGAGCAAACCTTCCAGGCAGTGTGATACAGCCAGAAAATCAAGCTCATTGTCACCACATGTGGCTTTGTTGGGCCCAATTGGTTCAAGGGACAAACTTTGAAAAATGGCAGTGTCCAACAATTCCTTCAAAGGCGAGTTCCAGTCTCCACCTATCAGGATTGGGCCCCTACAGATTGACGAATTGCGCGTAGAGATGCTAGGATGTCAGAGTTGACCGGGGACCCGAAGCCGGAGGAGGACTGGAGGTACAGGCTAACTACTGTCAAGTCAGCCCCTTGTGTGCGTAGCGTCACCGCCACGTAGCCGCAACCTTGGTTGGTATACTGGCCTCGCAAACGGGCTCCCAGGTGGGCTCTAACTAAAACCCCTACTCCGCCTCTAGAGCTATTCCGTCGGCCTTCCCCAGGGGCTGCGGGCACAAGGAAGGAGTCAAAGCCCATGGCAGCCATAGACGAAATTTCAGCAACAACTTGGGACTCCAAAAGGTGGTGCTCCTGAATCAAGATAACATCCCCTTGAGCTGAAAACCATTGCTTGACTTCGGGCCTCCAAGAAGTGATGTTGCAAGATGTGACTCGCATTTGCCTATGCCCCTGTGGCTGCGATTTGCGCAAAACTTCAAAGCCCCGAGCAACAAGCAGGAGCAAAGTCAAGTCAAAAGAACGTTGGAGGGCCAAGATCTCTTGGCACAGCCACCAACCTAAGCTGCCCTGTTCAACCTGATCAAGAAGGTGGGCAACCAACTCCGAAGTTGCTCCCAACAGACCTGGGTTCTGGACAGCCTCCCACACCTGGCCTTCGAGTGTTCGCCACTGGCTGTGTGGGCTTGCCGACGGTGGCAACTCAGGTGGCATCTCACAAAGGGCAAGCTGAGAGAATGGCACCCTAATGTGTTTGGGCTGTTTCGCTCTGCGCCTGGTTTTATTCCGTTTGCGGGTGACCCCAACCTCGGCGTGGCTCCCCGACGCCTGTAAGCGAGGAAACTCCTCAACTTGAGATGCCGTTGCTGAGGTTGTGGCCACAAAAGCAGAGATTGAAGAAGCACCGGTCACAGGGACCTCATCAAACTCAGTTGTCGAGAAAGACGGGGGCCAAAATTGGGGTCCAGTGATGAGTTGGGTGTCTTGGGACTGCAGCGGGGTGCTGTGGCGTAATCCTTTGGCAACGGTCTGCCAGGCACTCAAATCCCCAAAAGAATCCCAGTCTTCCTTACCAGAAAAACCAGGTAACCAAAACTGATCCCATACAAGGTCGGTGTTGCAAAATTGTGAGTAAGCCTCAACATACCCTGAAACCTTCTCTAAGGACTTGGGCTGCTGAGGTTGGCACTCCCCCAATGAAAACAAATCACTGTACAAAGAAATGGGTCTCTTAACCGATTCGCCGGAAAACCCGCAGGGCTGAGAGCTGGACGCAGGGGCACAGGAAACATCTTGATCAAGCAGAAGGGCAGGCTGAAATGCACAAGCAGGTTGCCCACTGTCCCCACTTAAAGGACCTTCCTCGAAAACAGACCTAACCTGAACCCCCAGCCCCACTCCCTAACCTTGCTGCGTGCTACGGCCTCGGCTCCTGGACCTGGGCTTGGCTTGCTCATGCGGCTCAGTGCCCTTGTGATCTGGCATAGTTTGGCTCAGCGGGGCACGGGTCGGAGCCGTCAAACCAGGCTGGTTTGTGGCTTCAACATCCATATTCTGCTGCCCATCGTTAAGCTTACCGCGCTGGGCCTCCTCGTAAAGCTCCTTCTGCTCCTGGGTCAGGACAATCCCAACTTTGGCAAGCGTATCTAGAAGCCCTTCCAAGGAATCGTCCTTGCGCGCGGGGTCCTCCAGACCCAAAGCATCAGCACGGAGTGTGGCTTCCAACTCCGATTGCATAGCCGTGACTTCAGCTTGCTTGCTTTGCAAGTCAGATTGGCAAACCTTCATCTTCTCAAGCAGCTCCTGGTAGGTTGCTTTGGCTCGGTCTATGCGAATCTGTAAAGCAGCAGTTTGCTGGATCATCTGTCGCAAGTCCGTAGTGCTCTGCTTAAAGCGACGAGTTGCAAGCTCAATCTGCTGAGTCTGCGTGGGGGCCGGAGGATCAAGTGCTGCAAGGGCTTGCTGGATCGAAGGCGGCAATGACTCCAAGTGCTTCTTGCAAAGGGCCGCAAGGTCTGTTGGCTCCGACGCCACCGGCTCAGGGATGCCAGCTTGGCGCATCAGCTTCTTCTGATCATCAGACGCGGAATCCCACAGGTTCTTAGAGGCTTCGGCCTGCTCGTCAAGCCCACCCTTTGCCCCTTTGCCTTTTCCAGACTGGAGGCCTGGAGGCGGACTCGGCTGCCGGCCTGCTTGGAAACCTGCCTCGCTCAGTTCCTTCTGGACCTCTGGGGGAAACTTCTGCCAAAGAGTCGTGACGGCTTTGGAGAGGTTGCCCTCATGATTCCTAGGCCGTTGGGGGCTTTGAGTTGCACTCTCAGTGGTTGCGCTTCTGTCCCTGTTCTTCTTGGGACCCCGCGGGCGCAGTCTTTGAGTGACCGGAGCACCCTTGGTCTTCCAGGCGTTGCCACACAGGTTGCAAAAGGGGTGGTGCTGGACTCTGTCTACGAAAATCCAGCTCTGCTTACCCGCCCTAGAGCAGTGAGGACAGACGATGTAGGGCGTTGCTGCACCCTTGGCACCGTTTTTTCCCCAAGTCATGGCGAGCAAGCTCAACCTGTGACAACGGCTGAGCAAGTGTTCGGCTTGAAAGCACGTGCAGTATGGCGCTACCCCGCCCCAACCCTTGCTGGACAGCCAGCCTACGACCTTTAAGGTTGCGGTTTGGGTTCCAGTCAGGGCCTTTAGCAAAAGTAGGGACTCCAGGCTAAAAGGCCACGTCGGCACTGCAAAGTCTGAGCCGAAAACTTGAGCCAGGGATTGAAAATCATTCCGGTGGCGCGAGAAGTCCACGGCCAGAGGCCTGTCCGAAGAAACCCTGAAGCATGCATTAATTAAAACTGGCTGTAGCAAAGCCAGGGCTAAGCGAGTACGCCTTGAAGGCTCCAGTACAACCAGTAGCCTCAAAGCCCTATTCAAAATCGGAAGACTGCACAGGAAGGTGTCTGGCTCAAGTAACCTCAGGCCCCATTGGGCGAGGTAGCGGTTGAGCGACCTTCATAACTAACTCACTTAGCTCAGTTGGCGGCCAAGAAGAAAAGGAGACCGTGCAGCTGCAAACCAAAGTAGCTGCAAAACAGGTGTGTCAAGCAGGTTTACACTGTTGCAGTGCAAACAGAGGGATGGGCAGCAGGGTACACACCTGCACACACTGCACACTCTTGCACGGAAGGCCCCCCCCCCCTGTTGGGATTGAAAATCACGCTCGAGCGGTCGGTCCGCTGGGCTGAGCCCAGTTCGAGTCAGGGTGAGACGGAGCTTTAGGGGAGTCACCTCACCCTGATTTCGGAGCCTAGTCCACTTTGGGAGCGGCGAGTTTCTCTAGACCAGTCTGACATCAGGTGATGTCCTTAAACAGCACCCTCGGCACAGACTGGTCGAGCTCACCTGCCTACTGCGGTTGCCCTCAGCCTACCTTCCAAGGAGTCTCCTCACTTTGAGCTAGGCGGCAACAAAAGGGGTTGTGCAAGGGAGGTATCTCAACCTTGTAGCTTCTCCAAGTCCACGGAGTCTCCTCACGTTGTTGACTTGTAGAGCAAGGGAGTAGCCTCACCTTGAGCAGACTTAGGCTTGTGACCAAATTGGCTCGTTGAATTAAGGCTGGAAAGGGGAGTCTCCTCACCCTGAAGCGGCTTGCAAGCTTAAGGGAGTCACCTCACCTTAAAACCCTTCAGGGGTTTCTCAACTGGTCGGGGTGTCCAAACTAGGGATCGGAACGAGCTGCCAGGTTGTATCATCCGGATTGCTCCAAGGGTTGCTCAGGGGAATAACCATACCAACCTTGTAGCACAAGGGGAGGTAGGTTAAGAACCCCGAGTCCTTTAAGCCCTCAAAGTGGTGCGGAAAGTCCTGGAGGCGGTGGAGGAAGACCTTGCACAAAACCTCGGGGGAGCCATAAAGGTGGATTTGTTCTTCCACCCATGGACCAAACATTTCATGTTTGGCGCATAGGCTAAGAAGCCCCTTGGTTGCCGCCTTTCCAGGCCAGTGCTTGTGCTGCGCTTCTCTCCAGCGGCCCCCGTCGTACAAACAAACCTGCACGTAGTCGGCCGAGCGCAGCTTTGCACTTTGAAGCGCCATGTTCTCGGCGCGTGTGCGCGCCAAGGTCGGGAGTGCCCAACCTACATTGTGCTCCCCAAGATCCGACAAGCGGATATGGCAGGCACTCAAAAACGCGACCACACTTAACAAAGCCAGGAGGTCCGGGACATCAAGTGTCCTAAGCCTTCCCTGCGGAGAAGCCACAGGGATGACCCGCCTGTAGAAAACCGCGCGGCCCCGTAGGGTAAAACCCTTGCCATGGCCATTCTCTGACAGGGTGAGCAGAACATCACCAGAAGTCCCCGGTCGAGGGATAAAGGTGAAATCTCTGGATAGTCCCTCCAGAAAAATCTGCTCCTGGCCCATGTCCTCGGCGAGCCCCAGTTTGAGGACCTGAAAATCGGCTCCAAGTCCCCATTGAGCCGGGGGCTCCGGTGACACGACTGCCACCTACCCCCAAAACGGCCCATACCCCTCCATGCTCGTCCTCCAGCTCCGCCGGAGTGTAAAAAGTCCAAGGCGTGCCAGACGAGCCCTTTTTGTTAAGGGACACGCCTCGGAGGGATCTCGGGATCTTCAGGGGCTGCTTGTAGAGAAGCTCCAAGGGAACCTCCGAACCTGGCTCCCTTCTGAGGTCCTCGCCCTTGATTCCCGGATCTGGGCCTGGAAGGGACTCCGCTGGGGATGGAGCCTCCTCCGAAAACTTGGTGGTGGCCGGTGAGTTTGCCTCAACCTGGTCACTGGGGACAGGATCTGGATGAGGTGAGGGTTCCTCAACCTGCTCAGGGACCAAAGAAGAGGCTGGCTCAGGTGAGATCTTCTCAACCTGTGTTTTGGAAGCCTTGCCTTCTGTATCCGGCTTGGGTGCCGGTGAGGTAACCTCAACCTGGGAGCTCTGGGCAGGCTCCTGCTTAGGAGAGGTCAGTACCTCTTCCTGCTCATGCTCCGAGGGAGAGGCCGGTTCAGGCGAGACCTTCTCAACCTGGGTTGTGGCGGCCGGGCCTGGATCACCAGCATCTGTATCCGGCTTGGTTGCCGGTGAAGGAACCTCAGTCTGAGAACTCTGGGCAGGTTCCTGTTTAGGAGAGGTCAGCACCTCATCCTGCTCAGGCCCAAAGGAGAGGTTGGTGCAGGTGAGACCTGCTCAACCTGAGTTGTGGAGGCTAGGCCTGGTTCATCAGCATTGGAAGGCGAGGGCACCTCAGCCTGCAGATTGGAACCGGAGGCTCTTGGCGAGGCCTCCTCAGCCTGGGCCTCTGTGCGTTGCCGCTTTGGCGGTGGTGGTGGTGGGGTTCGGGCTACCCCCGGCTTGGGTGCGGCTTTTGGCCTCGTGATAGGGGCCTCAACCGACCTTGACAAGTTGGGACCAGAAGCCGGAGGTTCCCGGTCGGTACCTGAATGCTGGCTTTGCCTGGAGTACCTTGATCTCGAAATAGCAGGTTTGCCCTCACTAAAACGATGCTGCAAGAGGGCCTGGTACCGCTGTTCCGTTACCGGGTCCTCGAAAGGGGCATTCTGCCCCTTCCCTGGCTTATTCTTCCCTTTTCCTTTACCCATCTTGGAGCCAAAAGCTGCGAGAAGGCTCAGACATGGAGGGTTAGCAAAACCAGGTACGAGTAGCACTTAGACCAGGCTACATCTGCAGGCTTGGCGCAAACAGCACCTACCCCATCATCAGTAATGAGCTTGGAGGGGAGAAGTAATGTACGATAATGTCCAGAGGTCGGGGAGTTGCCTAAATGCGAGACCACGGCCTTGGGGTAGTAACGAAGAAGTTCCCCATCCAATCCCTCAAGCACACAAGGATCCTCAAAACCAACTGGGTTCTCGAGCCTCCGAAAACCCCCCCCTTCCCTAACAAACCTCAAAAGCTGCAATGCAATCAAAGGCGGGTGAGTAAGGATTTTCACTTCTCCACCTTGTTGCCAATTTGCCAGAAGTTCCCTCATAGAGACTTCGTGCTCCGGGAGGTGAAGAGGAAGTGGGAAAAATTACCCTCGTGGTGAGGTGCATTGGGAGCATGAGCTCGCCATGAAACGCAAGAGAGGTCACGGGGAAGCCCCGAAGAAAGGTGCATGAGAAGTTGACAAACATCATGCTGGCTGTTTGGGGATTCCCATCGACCCTGGCCTGCAACTAATCTCTTCCAAACCAGGGACTGCCACAGCTCGACTTTGCGCTGATCTTTCAACCATCGCAGGATGCCCTGGATGGGGGATCCCGCAAAGGGGCTGGAGGCATCAAGGAGCAGGTCAACCCAAAAGAAACCAACCACCAGAGAATTGGTGTAACAATGGTTGGATGGATTTTGGAACTTCACCTTGCGAACAATGGAGCCAGCAGCCCTTAAGTCTCCAAGCTCTGGGCTTCCAGGATCCCGGTAATCGCGGACAGCAGGAGAGGGAGGCTCAATCCTGACCATGTTCTGCAAGGGAGGGTCATCGGGAGTGAGAGTTTGCAGGGGAGTGGCCTCAACCCTGTTAAGTGGTGTTGCAAAGAAGTTGCTAAGGTTTTGGGCTTTTGGGAGAGTCTCCTTAGAAAGCTTGCTAGCCTTCTTGGAGGCAGGTAGTGACTCCGGAACCCCTACGCCACTTAACAAACTCTTGGTGAACTTAGTCAGTTTGTTAGTGTGTTTACGGGTCACACACAGGGACTGGAGGAGCCCCGGGACTTTCTTTGCCCGCGCTGGCAAAATGCCTTCACACACTTTACACTGCCAAGCTTTGCCTATGGAAACAAGCTGATGGGAAGAGTGACAGGCCAGGTGATCCGGGGGACGACCTTCCCTTCCCAAGCACGGCTGGGCAAGGACCTGCTGGAACAGTGAAGGAGGGTCTACTTGCTGCAGGTAAAGGCCACATTTCCCACACATGGCTGTGAGGTTCGTAGGGTGCTGACTCCGAATTTCCCACTGGTGTCCCAGCGGAGAGACGGTTTGGCTGACGAGTTGCTCAATCTGTTGCCTTTTGTTGAGGGTTGGAGGTTTTGGCTGGCGCTTGCAGAAAATAGTCTTCTTGTCCTGCGTAGTAATCAAAATCTCCGCCCTCTGGCTAAGTAGCTGGGAAAGGGTGGAAACCAGCGTGTCAACTTGCCTGACTTGCTTTTTGGCATCAGGGTGCAAAGCTTGGTCAGCCCTGGACCCAGCAAGTTGGTCAGCTTCCTGATTCAAATGCCAACGCCAAACCTCATCTTTTCCAAACTTTTCAGCAAATTTTCCTACATCCAAGTGGGCCTTGACCCAATGAAGATGTTGTGGGGATATGTTCTGCCATTGGGGTTTCCAAAACATGGAATGCTTGGATGTAACCGCCCTAGCTGCAGCCTGCTTGCAAGCTACCCGAGAATCCGTAGTAAGATCCGTCAGGCCTGGGCAAAGCTCATGGGCCTTAACAATGGCATGGACCTCCCCATCTAGAACCGTGGCCGGCCGAGGCAAAACCCCGCTCGCAGTTGCAATAACTGTGATGCTTTGGCCCGTTTTGCGTGCTAGAATCACAGCCCATCCAATGGTCCGCAATCTGGGATCGGAAGAAAATTTTCCGCCACTGGCATCAGTTCCAATGACAAGATCCGAGTCCCAGGGCTGTGACGGCCAGGTGCCCGCATACCTATCCTCAGCGTTCTGAAGTGGCGAGGAGACATAGGCAAGAGGGGGAAGGGCTCGCAACCAAAGGCAGGGCGCAGGATGGGACTGACGCATTTGTTCAAGATGCCTGGGAAGCTTTGGCTGTCTGGCCCATCTGGGGCAGTCCCACAGCACATGTTGTAGTGTGTTTTCTGAATCAAGGCCCCGATCCTTACAGTAAGGGCACTTGGGGTGGCCACCACTTCCCGCATGCACAACTGCACCTTGCCAGATTGACCTGTAGAAGGTCAGACGTTTGGTCTTCTTTAAAGCAATGCGGCGATGAATTGTGAAATCTACACCCTCCTGAGCTCCTTGGCCGCCATGTTGGCCAGAGATGGCTCGCAACCTTTCGCTCTTGATGGTAGACCGAATCTTGCGCCGCAGCTCCTGAAAAAGAAAGGGGCTGAAGTCAACGGGCCAGGGGTGGCCATCAATATGCCAGACTTCCGGGGACTGGACATCCCATCCCATATCCCTGGCATACTGAATCATGGCCGAAATGGGTCCGGCAACGATTTTCCAAGGGTGAGGCGAAGCCTCCAACCTGGATTTGACCAAGGGCCAGGACCTTTGAACTTCCTCCCAAATGGAAGGAGAACGGCCAAGAATACGAAGAAAAACTTGCAAATGCTCACAAATGATCTGCTCTCGGGGATCCGGAAATCTGTGGGAGAACATCTCCAAGACGGTCAGGGTTCCTCCTAGATGTTGGCGTCCTAAGCTACCAGCCAGCACAGCGCGGTGCCATTTCAACCGTTTGGGACTAACACCCTGTGCCTGATGGCCATAGGTGGCACATGTCATGATGGATCCGCGCACAACCCTCGTGCGTGAGCAATGCGAATCAACACCTAAAGCACGAAGGCGCTTGTGGCGGCCTTGCGCCTTCTTGTGCCTGCCCAGAGAGGTGGCAAGCCTGCGGCGTCTGCCAGCATTGCTGTCAACCCCTAAGTCTTTGGCTAACAGAGTAATGCCAGGATCTTGGTCCGAACGCAGACGCGCAAGAACTTGAGAGGTGGCAGAGTCTGAGCAAAGAAACTTGGTTTTTTCCAAGGAAACCTGAAGATTTCGTTCCGCAAGAGAGTCTCGCAGTATACGAAATGTCTTGAGGGCTTTGTGAGCCGTGTTAGAAGCAGTGGACCCTACCACGTCAGCCGAAATGTCATCCAGCCACTGGTCGATGTTGTGAGTGAGGCCAGTAGCCTGAAGGTCCCTGATTGGGACAAACAAAGCCAGTTTCGAAACCACCGGCGCAACAGGGCAACCCTGAAGCAACCCAACTGTGGGAATGATTCCCGGCGAAACCGAATTTTCGGCTGAGACAAATCGTGTCCCACCATAAATTTGAAGGGAAAGCTCCAAAAGCAAAGGTGGGAACTGCAACAGGAGTCCGGTGTCGACTACCGAGGCCCAAACTACACAATCATAGAAACCTTTGATATCAAGAAAGAGTCCTACAAAGTGTTTGGACTGAGTTCGGGAGGCTTCGGCCCACAGCAACCGGCGGATGCCGATGTCTAGAGATGTTCGACCTGGCACTGCGGCATCCCAAGGAGCCAGGGCCTGGTAGGAGACCGTCCACTCTTGGATCAGGGACCACCTGGCTCTGCAGTAGTCCCTCCACAAAACGTGAGTTAAAGAGATAGGTCTCTCAGCAGTAGCCGATTTGGGCAGCATACAAACTTGTGTCAGGAGGAACTGCTGCGGGACTCGGAGGCCTCTTTCGAGCTCCTGATAAAATTCAGCGATGTCCTGAAGCATTGGCCAAGTCAATTTCTTGAGAAGGGACTTGCTCCAGCCGTCCGGTCCTGGGGCAGTGACCCTGCCTTTGGAAAACCTTTGTTGCAGCTGTTCCGGGGAAATGGGGCTCAGGGTAGCGACCTGCTGAGCAGCCAGTTCCCGTAGCTTTCCGCGAGCCTGTTGCTCTGCGTGTGGAAGAGGAGGAAGGTCCTCAACTCTAAGTACGCCTTTCCAAGTGCGGAGCCATAGTTTGGTTCTAGCCAGGGCGCGGACCTCTGCGGACAGATCCCGAAAGGGACGTGCAGTGGTGATTTCACCTTTTTTGATCGTCTTGAAAAGGGGGGCCATCCCTTTTTCTTGGGCTCCCTGCAACCACGACCTGTACGACTTGGTCTGGGCATCCTGGTGAACTTTAGAGGCCAGCAGAAATTGCTCCTGCAATAATTGCTGGACGGGCTCGGGAACAGCAGCCTGCTCCGAGAGACAGGCCTGGAGCGTAGAAAGAAAAGAAACAGCCTCCTCCGAGTTGCCCTGCCAGTGGTCCAGGATCTGCGGCAAATACTCCTGGCATTGCTCTCGACGTTTGGGGTGGTCTCCCTGGCACAGAAATTGTACCCGGTGCCAAAAAGCCTGGCAAGAACCTTCCCATGCGAACTGGGACATGCGAGGAACAGCTGGGAGGAATTCAACTTGGAGTTGGCGACCAATACCCTGGGACGATTGCAAAAGACTGTGCTCAACCGAACTGGAAATGGAAGCCAGTCGATTGCTCAGGGGGTCAGCCGAAAAGGTGGTATCCGGCAAAGAGGCGAGGGTCTCCTCAACCTGTATGTAATCAAGCGGTTCTTCCCTGAAGGAAAGCACAAAGGAGGGAAGCTGTGGAGTGGTGAGCTGGAAAGCGCCCACATTGAGGGCAACTTGGATTGCTGCATGTGGCTTGAAAGGAACATCCCAGGAGGCATCAACCCGGAGCAAACCTTCCAGGCAGTGTGATACAGCCAGAAAATCAAGCTCATTGTCACCACAGGTGGCTTTGTTGGGCCCAATTGGTTCCAGGGACAAACTTTGAAAAATGGCAGTGTCCAACAAATCCTTCAAAGGCGAGTTCCAGTCTCCACCTATCAGGATTGGGCCCCTCACAGATTGACGAATTGCGCGCAGAGATGCAAGGATGTCAGAGTTGACCGGGGACCCGAAGCCGGAGGAAGACTGGAGGTACAGGCTAACTACTGTCAAGTCAGCCCCTTGTGTGCGTAGCGTCACCGCCACGTAGCCACAACCTTGGTTGGTATACTGACCTCGCAAACGGGCTCCCAGGTGGGCTCTAACTAAAACCCCAACTCCGCCTCTAGAGCTATTCCGTCGGCCTTCCCCAGGGGCTGCGGGCAAAAGGAAGGAGTCGAAGCCCATGGCAGCCATAGACGAGATTTCAGCAACAACTTGGGACTCCAAAAGATGGTGCTCCTGAATCAAGATAACATCCCCTTGAGCTGAAAACCATTGCTTGACTTCTGGTCTCCAAGAAGTAATGTTGCAAGATGTGACTCGCATTTGCCTGTGCCCCTGTGGCTGCGATTTGCACAAAACTTCAAAGCCCCGAGCAACAAGCAAGAGCAAAGTCAAGTCAAAAGAACGTTGGAGGGCCAAGATCTCCTGGCACAGCAACCAACCTAAGCTGCCCTGCTCAACCTGATCAAGAAGGTGGCCAACAACCTCTGAAGTTGCTCCCAACAGATCTGGGTTCTGGACAGCCTCCCACACCTGGCCTTCGAGTGTTCGCCACTGGCTGTGTGGGCTTGCCAAAGGTGGCACCTCAGGTGGCTTTTCACAACGGGCAAGCTGAGAAAAGGGTACCCTCATGTGTTTGGGCTTTTTCGCTCTGCGTCTGGTTTTATTACGTTTGCGGGTGACCCCAACCTCGGCATGGCTCCCCGACGCCTGTAAGCGAGGAAACTCCTCAACTTGAGATGCCGTTGCTGAGGTTGTGGCCACAAAAGCAGAGATTGGAGAAGCACCGGTCACAGGGACCTCATCAAACTCAGTTGTCGAGAAAGATGGGGGCCAGAACTGGGGCCCTGTGATGAGTTGGGTGTCCTGGGACTGCAGCGGGGTGCTGTGGCGCAATCCTTTGGTAACAGTCTGCCAGGCACTCAGATCCCCACAAGAATCCCATTCTTCCTGACCAGAAAGACCTGGTAACCAAAACTGACCCCATACAAGGTCTTTGTTGCAAAATTGTGAGTAAGCCTCAACATACCCTGAAACCTTCTCTAAGGACTTGGGCGGCTGAGGTTGGCACTCCCCCAATGAAAACAAATCACTGTACAAAGAAATGGGTCGCTTAACCGATTCGCCGGAAAACCCGCATGGCTGAGAGCTGGACGCAGGGGCACAGGAAACGTCTTGATCAAGCTGAAGGGCAGGCTGAAATGCACAAGCAGGTTGCCCACTCTCCCCACTTAAAGGACCTTCCTCGAAAACAGACCTAACCTGGACCCCCAGCCCCACTCCCTAACCTTGCTGCGTGCTACGGCCTCGGCTCCTGGACCTGGGCTTGGCTTGCTCATGCGGCTCAGTGCCCTTGTGTTCTGGCAGAGTTTGGCTCAGCGGGGCACGGGTCGGAGCCGTCAAACCAGGCTGGTTTGTGGCTTCAACTTCCATATTCTGCTGCCCATCATTTTGCTTGCCGCGCTGGGCCTCCTCGTAAAGCTCCTTCTGCTCCTGGGTCAGGACAATTCCAACTTTGGCAAGCGTATCTAGAAGCCCTTCCAAGGGATCGTCCTTGCGCGCGGGGTCCTCCAGACCCGAAGCATCAGCACGGAGTGTGGCTTCCAACTCCGACTGCATAGCCGTGACTTCAGCTTGTTTGCTCTGCAAATCAGATTGGCAAACCTTCATCTTCTCAAGCAGCTCCTGGTAGGTTGCTTTGGCGCGGTCTATGCGAATCTGTAAGGCAGCAGTTTGCTGGATCATCAGTCGCAAGTCCGTAGTGCTCTGCTTAAAGCGACGAGTTGCAATCTCAATCTGCTGAGTCTGCGTGGGGGCCGGAGGATCAAGTGCTGCAAGGGCTTGCTGGATCGAAGGCGGCATTGACTCCAAGTGCTTCTTGCAAAGGGCCGCAAGGTCTGTTGGCTCCGACGCAACCGGCTCAGGGATGCCAGCTTGGCGCATCAGCTTCTTCTGATCATCAGACGCAGAATCCCACAGGTTCTTAGAGGCTTCGGCCTGCTCGTCAAGCCCACCCTTTGCCCCGTTGCCTTTTCCAGACTGGAGGCCTGGAGGCGGACTCGGCTGCCGGCCTGCTTGGAAACCTGCCTCGCTCAGTTCCTTCTGGATCTCTGGGGGAAACTTCTGCCAAAGTGTCGTGACGGCTTTGGAGAGGTTGCCCTCTTGATTCCTAGGCCGTTGGGGGCTTTGGGTGGCACTCTCAGTGGTTGCGCTTCTGTCCCTGTTCTTCTTGGGACCCCGCGGGCGCAGTCTTTGAGTGACCGGAGCACCCTTGGTCTTCCATGCGTTGCCACACAGGTTGCAAAAGGGGTGGTGCTGGACTCTGTCTACGAAAATCCAGCTCTGCTTACCCGCCCTAGAGCAGTGAGGACAGACGATGTAGGGCGTTGCTGCACCCTTGGCACCGTTTTTTCCCCAAGTCATGGCGAGCAAGCTCAACCTGTGACAACGGCTGAGCAAGTGTTCGGCTTGAAAGCACGTGCAGTATGGCGCTACCCCGCCCCAACCCTTGCTGGACAGCCAGCCTACGACCTTTAAGGTTGCGGTTTGGGTTCCAGTCAGGGCCTTTAGCAAAAGTAGGGACTCCAGGCTAAAAGGCCACGTCGGCACTGCAAAGTCTGAGCCGAAAACTTGAGCCAGGATTGAAAATCACGCTCGAGCGGTCGGTCCGCTGGGCTGAGCCCAGTTCGAGTCAGGGTGAGACGAAGTTTGAGGGGAGTCACCTCACCCTGAGTTCTGAGCCTAGTCCACTTTGGGAGCGGCGAGTTTCTCTAGACCAGTCTGACATCAGGTGATGTCCTTAAACAGCACCCTCGGCACAGACTGGTCGAGCTCACCTGCCTACTGCGGTTGCCCTCAGCCTACCTTCCAAGGAGTCTCCTCACTTTGAGCTAGGCGGCAACAAAAGGGTGCAAGGGAGGTATCTCAACCTTGTAGCTTCTCCAAGTCCACGGAGTCTCCTCACGTTGTTGGCTTGTAGAGCAAGGGAGTAACCTCACCTTGAGCAGACTTAGGCTTGTGACCAAATTGGCACGTTGAATTAAAGCTGGAGGATTGCCGGCCATGGCCTCAGCTATTCACCTCCTTGTGCCCCCTGCCTAGGCGGGCTCTGCCGGCTTTTGACCACCTCCCTCACCCCCCAGGACCTCGGGTCTTTGAGGCTGAGGAGTTCCTATTCCTGGGACTTTGCTAGAGACCTGAGGGCTTCAGCTTGCCTCAAGTGGCTCCAAGTTCCCAGGTGGGCGGCCATTGCCACAGGGTCCCTGTTGTAGAACCCGCACAAGAAGCAGTGGTAGTTATACGCATGCCCAATCTCCCGCCGTTGTGGCGGTGGGCTCTGGGCAGGTTCCTGTTTAGGAGAGGTCAGCACCTCATCCTGCTCAGGCCCCAAAGGAGAGGTTGGTTCAGGTGAGACCTGCTCAACCTGAGTTGTGGAGGCTAGGCCTGGTTCATCAGCATTGGAAGGCGAGGGCACCTCAGCCTGCAGATTGGAACCGGAGGCTCTTGGCGAGGCCTCCTCAGCCTGGGCCTCTGTGCGTTGCCGCTTTGGCGGTGGTGGTGGTGGGGTTCGGGCTACCCCCGGCTTGGGTACGGCTTTTGGCCTTGTGATAGGGGCCTCAACCGACCTTAACAAGTTGGGACCAGAAGCCGGAGGTTCCCGGTCGGTACCTGAGTGCTGGCTTTGCCTGGAGTACCTTGATCTCGAAATAGCAGGTTTGCCCTCACTGAAACGATGCTGCAAGAGGGCCTGGTACCGCTGTTCCGTTACCGGGTCCTCGAAAGGGGCATTTTGCCCCTTCCCTGGCTTATTCTTCCCTTTTCCTTTACCCATCTTGGAGCCAAAAGCTGCGAGAAGGCTCAGACATGGAGGGTTAGCAAAACCAGGTACGAGTAGCACTTAGACCAGGCTACATCTGCAGGCTTGGCGCAAACAGCACCTACCCCATCATCAGTAATGAGCTTGGAGGGAAGAAGTAAAGTTCGATAATGTCCTGAGGTCGGGGAGTTGCCTAAATGCGAGACCACGGCCTTGGGGTAGTAACGAAGAAGTTCCCCATCCAATCCCTCAAGCACACAAGGATCCTCAAAACCAACTGGGTTCTCGAGCCTCCGAAAACCCCCCCCTTCCCTAACAAACCTCAAAAGCTGCAATGCAATCAAAGGCGGGTGAGTAAGAATTTTCACTTCTCCACCTTGTTGCCAATTTGCCAGAAGTTCCTTCATAGAGACTTCGTGCTCCGGGAGGTGAAGAGGAAGTGGGAAAAGTTACCCTCGTGGTGAGGTGCGTTGGGAGCATGAGCTCGCCATGAAACGCAAGAGAGGTCACGGGGAAGCCCCGAAGAAAGGTGCATGAGAAGTTGACAAACATCATGCTGGCTGTTTGGGGATTCCCATCGACCCTGGCCTGCAACTAGTCTCTTCCAAACCAGGGACTGCCACAGCTCGACTTTGCGCTGATCTTTCAACCATCGCAGGATGCTCTGGATGGGGGATCCAGCAAAGGGGCTGGAGGCATCAAGGAGCAGGTCAACCCAAAAGAAACCAACCACCAGAGAATTGGTGTAACAATGGTTGGATGGATTTTGGAACTTCACCTTGCGAACAATGGAGCCAGCAGCCCTTAAGTCTCCAAGCTCTGGGCTTCCAGGATCCCGGTAATCGCGGACAGCAGGAGAGGGAGGCTCAATCCTGACCATGTTCTGCAAGGGAGGGTCATCGGGAGTGAGAGTTTGCAGGGGAGTGGCCTCAACCCTGTTAAGTGGTGTTGCAAAGAAGTTGCTAAGGTTTTGGGCTTTTGGGAGAGTCTCCTTAGAAAGCTTGCTAGCCTTCTTGGAGGCAGGTAGTGACTCCGGAACCCCTACACCACTTAACAAACTCTTGGTGAACTTAGTCAGTTTGTTAGTGTGTTTACGGGTCACACACAGGGACTGGAGGAGCCCCGGGACTTTCTTTGCCCGCGCTGGCAAAATGCCTTCACACACTTTACACTGCCAAGCTTTGCCTATGGAAACAAGCTGATGGGAGGAGTGACAGGCCAGGTGATCCGGGGGGACGGCTGGACCGGAGGGTCCACTTGCTGCAGGTAAAGGCCACATTTCCCACACATGGCTGTGAGGTTCGTCGGGTGCTGACTCCGAATTTCCCACTGGTGTCCCTGCGGAGATACGGTTTGGCTGACGAGTTGCTCAATCTGCTGCCTTTGTTAAGGGTTGGAGGTTTTGGCTGGCGCTTGCAGAAAATAGTCTTCTTATCCTGCGTAGTAATCAAAATCTCCGCCCTCTGACTAAGTAGCTGGGAAAGGGTGGAAACCAGCGTGTCAACTTGCCGGACTTGCTTTCTGGCATCAGGGTGCAAAGCTTGGTCAGCCCTGGACCCGGCAAGCTGGTCAGCTTCCTGATTCAAATGCCAACTCCAAACCTCATCTTTTCCAAACTTTTCAGCAAATTTTCCTACATCCAAGTGGGCCTTGACCCAATGAAGGTGTTGTGGGGAGATGCTCTGCCATTGGGGTTTCCAAAACATGGAATGCTTGGATGTAACCGCCTTAGCTGCGGCCTGCTTGCAAGCTACCCGAGAATCTGTAGTAAGATCCGTCAGGCCCGGGCAAAGCTCATGGGCCTTGACAATGGCATGGACCTCCCCATCTAGAATCGTGGCCGGCCGAGGCAAAACCCCGCTCGCAGTTGCGATGACTGTGATGCTTTGGCCCGTTTTACGTGCTAGAATCACAGCCCATCCAATGGTCCTCAACCTGGGATCGGAAGAGAATTTGCCACCACTGGCATCGGTGCCAATGACAAAATCCGAGTCCCAGGTCTGTGACGGCCAGGTGCCCTCATACCTATCCTCAGCGTTCTGAAGGGGCGAGGAGACGTAGGCAAGAGGGGGAAGGGCTCGCAACCAAAGGCAGGGCGCAGGATGGGACTGACGCATTTGTTCAAGATGCCGGGGAAGCTTTGGCTGTCTAGCCCATCTAGGGCAGTCCCACAGCACATGTTGTAGTGTGTTGTCTGACTCAATGCCCCGATCCTTGCAGTAAGGGCACTTGGGGTGGCCACCACTTCCCGCATGCACAACTGCTCCTTGCCAGATTGACCGGTAGAAGGTCAGACGTTTGGTCTTCTTTAAAGCAATGCGGCGATGAATTGTAAAATCTACACCGTCCTGAGCTCCTTGACCGCCATGTTGGCAAGAGATGGCTCGCAATCTTTCGCCCTTGATGGTAGACCGAATCTTGCGCCGCAGCTCCTGAAAAAGAAAGGGGCTGAAGTCAACGGGCCAGGGGTGGCCATCAATTTGCCAGACTTCCGGGGACTGGACATCCCATCCCATGTCCCTGGCATACTGAATCATGGCCGAAATGGGTCCGGCAACGATTTTCCAAGGGTGAGGCGAAGCCTCCAACCTGGATTTGACCAAGGGCCAGGACCTTTGAACTTCCTCCCAAATGGAAGGAGAACGACCAAGAATACGAAGAAAAACTTGCAAATGCTCACAAATGATCTGCTCTCGGGGATCCGGAAATCTGTGGGAGAACATCTCCAAGACGGTCAGGGTTCCTCCAAGATGTTGGCGTCCTAAGCTACCAGCCAGCACAGCGCGGTGCCATTTCAACCGTTTGGGGCTAACACCCTGTGCCTGATGGCCATAGGTGGCACATGTCATGATGGATCCGCGCACAACCCTCGTGCGTGAACAATGCGAATCAACACCTAAAGCACGAAGGCGCTTGTGGCGGCCTTGTGCCTTCTTGTGCCTGCCCAGAGAGGTGGCAAGCCTGCGGCGTCTGCCAGCATTGCTGTCAACCCCTAAGTCTTTGGCTAACAGAGTAATGCCAGGATCTTGGTCCGAACGCAGACGCTCAAGAACGTGAGAGGTGGCAGAATCTGAGCAAAGAAACTTGGTTTTCTCCAAGGAAACCTGAAGATTTCGTTCCGCAAGAGAATCTCGCAGTATACGAAATGTCTTGAGGGCTTTGTGAGCCGTGTTAGAAGCAGTGGAACCTACCACGTCAGCCGAAATGTCATCCAGCCACTGGTCTATGTTGTGAGTGAGGCCAGTAGCCTGAAGGTCCCTGATTGGGACAAACAAAGCCAGTTTCGAAACCACCGGCGCAACAGGGCAACCCTGAAGCAACCCAACTGTGGGAATTATTCCCGGCGAAACTGAATTTTCGGCTGAGACAAATCGTGTCCCACCATAAATTTGAAGGGAAAGCTCCAAAAGCAAAGGGGGGAACTGCAGCAGGAGTCCGGTGTCGACTACCGAGGCCCAAACAACACAATCATAGAAGCCTTTGATATCAAGAAAGAGTCCTACAAAGTGTTTGGACTGAGTTCGGGAGGCTTCGGCCCACAGCAAACGGCGGATGCCGATGTCTAGTGATGTTCGTCCCGGCACTGCGGCATCCCAAGGAGCCAGGGCCTGGTAGGAGACCGTCCACTCTTGGATCAGGGACCACCTGGCTCTGCAGTAGTCCCTCCACAAAACGTGAGTTACAGAGATAGGTCTCTCAGCAGTAGCCGATTTGGGCAGCATACAAACTTGTGTCAGGAGAAACTGCTGCGGGACTCGGAGGCCTCTTTCGAGCTCCTGATAAAATTCAGCGATGTCCTGAAGCACTGGCCAAGTCAATTTCTTGAGAAGGGACTTGCTCCAGCCATCCGGTCCTGGGGCAGTGACCCTGCCTTTGGAAAACCTTTGTTGCAGCTGTTCCGGGGAAATGGGGCTCAGGGTAGCTACCTGCTGAGCAGCCAGTTCCCTTAGCTTTCCGCGAGCCTGTTGCTCTGCGTTTGGAAGAGGAGGAAGGTCCTCAACTCTAAGTACACCTTTCCAAGTGCGGAGCCATAGTTTGGTTCTAGCCAGGGCGCGGACCTCTGCGGACAGATCCCGAAAGGGGCGTGCAGTGGTGATTTCACCTTTTTTGATCGTCTTGAAAAGGGAGCCATCCCTTTTTCTTGGGCTCCCTGCAACCACGACCTGTACGACTTGGTCTGGGCATCCTGGTGAACTTTAGAGGCCAGCAGAAATTGCTCCTGCAATAATTGCTGGACGGGCTCAGGAACAGCTGCCTGCTCCGAGAGACGGGCCTGGAGCGTAGAAAGAAAGGAAACAGCCTCCTCCGAGTTGCCCTGCCAGTGGTCCAGGATCTGCGGCAAATACTCCTGGCATTGCTCTCGACGTTTGGGGTGGTCTCCCTGGCACAGAAATTGTAAAAAAAAAAAAAAAGCCTGGCAAGAGCCTTCCCATGCGAACTGGGACATGCGAGGAACAGCTGGGAGGAATTCAACTTGGAGTTGGCGACCAATACCCTGGGACGTTTGCAAAAGACTGTGCTCCACCGAGCTGGAAATGGAAGCCAGACGATTGCTCAGGGGGTCAGCCGACAAGGTGGTATCGGGCAAAGAGGCGAGGGTCTCCTCAACCTGCATGTAATCAAGCGGTTCTTCCCTGAAGGAAAGCACAAAGGAGGGAAGCTGTGGAGTGGTGAGCTGGAAAGCGCCCACATTAAGGGCAACTTGGATTGCTGCATGTGGCTTGAAAGGAACATCCCAGGAGGCATCAACCCGGAGTAAACCTTCCAGGCAGTGTGATACAGCCAGAAAATCAAGCTCATTGTCACCACATGTGGCTTTGTTGGGCCCAATTGGTTCAAGGGACAAACTTTGAAAAATGGCAGTGTCCAACAATTCCTTCAAAGGCGAGTCCCAATCTCCACCTATCAGGATTGGGCCCCTTACAGATTGACGAATTGCGCGCAGAGATGCTAGGATGTCAGAGTTGACCGGGGACCCGAAGCCGGAGGAGGACTGGAGGTACAGTCAGCCCCTTGTGTGCGTAGCGTCACCGCCACGTAGCCGCAACCTTGGTTGGTATACTGGCCTCGCAAACGGGCTCCCAGGTGGGCTCTAACTAAAACCCCTACTCCGCCTCTAGAGCTATTCCGTCGGCCTTCCCCAGGGGCTGCGGGCACAAGGAAGGAGTCAAAGCCCATGGCAGCCATAGACGAAATTTCAGCAACAACTTGGGACTCCAAAAGGTGGTGCTCCTGAATCAAGATAACATCCCCTTGAGCTGAAAACCATTGCTTGACTTCGGGCCTCCAAGAAGTGATGTTGCAAGATGTGACTCGCATTTGCCTATGCCCCTGTGGCTGCGATTTGCGCAAAACTTCAAAGCCCCGAGCAACAAGCAGGAGCAAAGTCAAGTCAAAAGAACGTTGGAGGGCCAAGATCTCTTGGCACAGCCACCAACCTAAGCTGCCCTGTTCAACCTGATCAAGAAGGTGGGCAACCAACTCCGAAGTTGCTCCCAACAGACCTGGGTTCTGGACAGCCTCCCACACCTGGCCTTCGAGTGTTCGCCACTGGCTGTGTGGGCTTGCCGACGGTGGCAACTCAGGTGGCATCTCACAAAGGGCAAGCTGAGAGAATGGCACCCTAATGTGTTTGGGCTGTTTCGCTCTGCGCCTGGTTTTATTCGTTTGCGGGTGACCCCAACCTCGGCGTGACTCCCCGACGCCTGTAAGCGAGGAAACTCCTCAACTTGAGATGCCGTTGCTGAGGTTGTGGCCACAAAAGCAGAGATTGAAGAAGCACCGGTCACAGGGACCTCATCAAACTCAGTTGTCGAGAAAGACGGGGGCCAAAATTGGGGTCCAGTGATGAGTTGGGTGTCTTGGGACTGCAGCGGGGTGCTGTGGCGTAATCCTTTGGCAACGGTCTGCCAGGCACTCAAATCCCCAAAAGAATCCCAGTCTTCCTTACCAGAAAAACCAGGTAACCAAAACTGATCCCATACAAGGTCGGTGTTGCAAAATTGTGAGTAAGCCTCAACATACCCTGAAACCTTCTCTAAGGACTTGGGCTGCTGAGGTTGGCACTCCCCCAATGAAAACAAATCACTGTACAAAGAAATGGGTCTCTTAACCGATTCGCCGGAAAACCCGCAGGGCTGAGAGCTGGACGCAGGGGCACAGGAAACATCTTGATCAAGCAGAAGGGCAGGCTGAAATGCACAAGCAGGTTGCCCACTGTCCCCACTTAAAGGACCTTCCTCGAAAACAGACCTAACCTGAACCCCCAGCCCCACTCCCTAACCTTGCTGCGTGCTACGGCCTCGGCTCCTGGACCTGGGCTTGGCTTGCTCATGCGGCTCAGTGCCCTTGTGTTCTGGCAAAGTTTGGCTCAGCGGGGCACGGGTCGGAGCCGTCAAACCAGGCTGGTTTGTGGCTTCAACTTCCATATTCTGCTGCCCATCGTTAAGCTTACCGCGCTGGGCCTCCTCGTAAAGCTCCTTCTGCTCCTGGGTCAGGACAATCCCAACTTTGGCAAGCGTATCTAGAAGCCCTTCCAAGGGATCGTCCTTGCGCGCGGGGTCCTCCAGACCCAAAGCATCAGCACTGAGTGTGGCTTCCAACTCCGACTGCATAGCCGTGACTTCAGCTTGCTTGCTCTGCAAATCAGATTGGCAAACCTTCATCTTCTCAAGCAGCTCCTGGTAGGTTGCTTTGGCTCGGTCTATGCGAATCTGTAAAGCAGCAGTTTGCTGGATCATCTGTCGCAAGTCCGTAGTGCTCTGCTTAAAGCGACGAGTTGCAATCTCAATCTGCTGAGTCTGCGTGGGGGCCGGAGGATCAAGTGCTGCAAGGGCTTGCTGGATCGAAGGCGGCATTGACTCCAAGTGCTTCTTGCAAAGGGCCGCAAGGTCTGTTGGCTCCGACGCCACCGGCTCAGGGATGCCAGCTTGGCGCATCAGCTTCTTCTGATCATCAGACGCGGAATCCCACAGGTTCTTAGAGGCTTCGGCCTGCTCGTCAAGCCCACCCTTTGCCCCTTTGCCTTTTCCAGACTGGAGGCCTGGAGGCGGACTCGGCTGCCGGCCTGCTTGGAAACCTGCCTCGCTCAGTTCCTTCTGGACCTCCCAAAGAGTCGTGACGGCTTTGGAGAGGTTGCCCTCATGATTCCTAGGCCGTTGGGGGCTTTGAGTTGCACTCTCAGTGGTTGCGCTTCTGTCCCTGTTCTTCTTGGGGCCCCGCGGGCGCAGTCTTTGAGTGACCGGAGCACCCTGTGTTTTCCAGGCGTTACCACACAGGTTGCAAAAGGGGTGGTGCTGGACTCTGTCTACGAAAATCCAGCTCTGCTTACCCGCCCTAGAGCAGTGAGGACAGACAATGTAGGGCGTTGCTGCACCCTTGGCACCGTTTTTTCCCCAAGTCATGGCGAGCAAGCTCAACCTGTGACAACGGCTGAGCAAGTGTTCGGCTTGAAATCACGTGCAGTATGGCGCTACCCCGCCCCAACCCTTGCTGGACAGCCAGCCTACGACCTTTAAGGTTGCGGTTTGGGTTCCAATCAGGGCCTTTAGCAAAAGTAAGGACTCCAGGCTAAAAGGCCACGTCGGCACTGCAAAGTCTGAGCCGAAAACTTGAGCCAGGATTGAAAATCACGCTCGAGCGGTCGGTCCGCTGGGCTGAGCCCAGGATTGAAAATCAACTCCCCCTCATGAACCTGTCGTCGAGAAAAGGTACCGGTCCAGTGGCTGCTGTTGCGTATTGGGCTCGTAGATCTTCTCACGGTCCACGATAGTTTTATGGCTCTTCCAAAAAACGGCTGCGGCTGTACAAAGAGGCGTCAGCACCTACCAAGCACTCAAAGCCCTAAGAGCTGTGTGAGCAAAAGCTTCGGGGATGGGTAGTGCCGGGTGTTCTTCAGAACGAACATCTTACTATGCTCGTGGTTTCCAGGGCACTTTAATTTATCCATGCAGTGAATGAGAACATGACTGTTCG